TTCCAGCCAAACAAAAGACAGGCATATGAGTTGAACATGTACCTGAAGTAGATACACTCCTTGGAGAGAACAATCATGGGAGAAAGAAGGGCTGCTTACACACAGGGAGACAGCTAGCTCAAGGGGCAGGAGTGCATGGAGGGATGGACACAGGTTAGAAGTAACTATGGGGAGGAAGTGGGAGGGGAGCTGTTGCATTGTGATAAATTGTAGTCAATGTCATGAGACAACTTGTTTGTGAACTGCTGTACAGAAAGTGAATTTGCTCTGTAAACTTTCACCCAGATCACAATTAAAAAAAAAAAAAAGAAAAGAAAAAGGAAAAAAAAACCAAACTGATCCTCAATTCAGTTTCTGGAAAACTCTTTAGTTTTGAAACAGCTTGGGTATGTTAATCTATTTTCAATTGTAAATTTTATAAACTCCAAATGAGGATCAAGTGTTTCCAACAGAGAGTGAGCGCCCTGAGAGTTGAGGCATGCCACCTGAGGCATGTAGGGAGTGCCTGCGGCACTACGCCACCAGAGCGCCTGCTTTGTTTTTTCCTGTTGCACTCCGGTTAAATGCTGCGCAAACCTGCTGCAAAAGACGGGTTAAAATGCAAAGATGTCAACCAAGAGGTCGAAGGTGTACCTGACCCAAGTCATGGTATTTTCAAACACCTCCTACGCATGCGAAAATTGGACAATGAATAAGGAAGACAAAAAAAAGAATGGATGCCTCTGAGTTACGGGGTTGGTGAAGAACACTGAACAGACACCGGACTATCAGAAGAATGAAGAAACCTGTCCTGGCAGAAGTACAGTCAGAATGCCCCTTAGAAGCAAGGATGGTGAGACATGGCCTCATGGGCTTTGGACGTGTCATCAGGAGGGACCAGACCTGGAGAAGGACACCATGCTTGGTGAACCAGAGGGTCAGCAGAGAAAGAAGACCCTCCGCATGACGGAGTGACACGGGCTGTGACCGAGGGCTCAAACACACCCATGGGCAGTGTTTCCTTCCACTGTTCATGGGATCACTCTGAAGGGAAACCAACTCAACGGCACCTAACAACACGGAAAATGACATCAAAGGGAGCACAGTTCTGTAGGAGGTAAACCTTCTGTGGAGGAGTTCCAGCTTGCACATGGCATCGAGAGGGATCTCACGTCA